ACAAGTCAATGATTTGCTTATGTGCTTATGCTTTTTCTCAGAATAAGGACAGTTCATCAAGCAAACCCATTTTTCTTTGTCTCCTTTTGAGCAGAATGAGACTTGATCCCAGCCATAAGAGGATCTTCCACTCCTCTATATGCCTTAAGGATAATGGATCAAAGTCCTGGGGTTGAGAGAGGTAAGGATGGATACAAAAAACAGGAAGGCAGATAGAAAGGAGACAAGGAAAATCATTATTTAAATACTGTACTTTAAAGAAAATCACAGTTCCTCAAGTTTATTCCTATCCCTACTCCCTAACTAGTTTCTGTTTCTTTTCTTCTAGGTCTACTAGACTCAAAATCTCTTGAAATATTTTAAACCCAAATATTAATTTAGTTGATAAAAAAAAGGGCATGAACTTGATCTTACAATAAAGAAACAGATTGAGAGAATTTAAAGAATATTTTTAGATAAAACACCTTAGATCATCTATCCTAAAAAAAAATTAAGGGCAGGCATAGCGGCACACACTTATAATCCCAGCATTAGAAAGGCTGAGGCAAGAGCATCACCCCAAGTTCAAGGCCATCCTGGGATACACAGAACATGAGACCCTGTCTCAAAAAACAAAGAAAAGAATTTTAGACTAGGCTCATGTCTTTCACCTACAACAGGAGGCCATTATCTTTCCATGGGTAGGTCATCCTTTGGACCATGAAGGAACTTCCTATAGATTCACAAATAACACAGATATCTACTATCCAAAACACATAAAATATCCCCAGTTCTAAACAATAGTATACCTCTATCCTGAGGATCAACAATCTTACTTTATATATAGTCTTTTAAAATGCTGCCTAAAAACTCTCTTTATTCCTCTTTTCGAAAAAAAAAAATAACTTTTTTTAAATTTAGGACAGGGTGTACAGGGTTACAGGGTCTCACTGCATAGATTGGACTCGTAGTGATCCTCCTGTTTACAGTCTCCTAAGTGCTGGGATTATACGATTTACGGTGCCACCACGCCCAGTCTCAATCGCCACCTCAGTGTGCCCAGGGGCAGGGCCAGGGCCAGCAAGGCAGGCCCAGGGATCAAACTCCTGGCCCCTGTGTCTGCTTAAGAAAGTGCTTTAATCCACTGAGCTATTTGGCCAGCCCTCAATTAGCTTTAAAACTCAAAGTTCTATTTAACCTCATTGGTTTGTATAAAAATATACTATCATATAGTATCTTTCTTACTTTAACATATAAGCCATAATTTTTATTCATGTACATTAACATCTTTACTTTCCATCACAAATATATGCAAAGGCAAATAACACTCTCATTTCAATCCAAACACAGCATGTACAAAATAACATAAATATTTTTTTATCTATTATAGCTTGGATTTTAAGTGTCGGACAAAAGCTCATGTGCTGAAGGCTTGGTCTCACAGCCTGTGGTGCTAATGGGAGGCTATGAACCCTTTGGGAGGGAAGTCTAGGTAGGGGGACAATGATATGTCATTGGAGAATCTTGAATGGTCCCTGTGGTCTGTCACACTCCTGTGGGCACATGTACTCACTTCTTCTATCTCTATCCCTATGGCATTCTCATTCTCTCTCTGCCTGTGTTTGTTTCTCTTCTGTCTCCCTCTCTCTACTTCTGACTCTGTCTTCCTCTCCTCTTGTCTTCTCCTCTCTACCCCTTTCTCCCCCGTCCCCTTTCTTCTCACTACAGGCTCAAAAATGAGGCCAATTCACCATGGACTAAAACCTTTAAAATCATGTGCCAAAATGAATGTTTCCTGATGTTGTATATCAGATATTTTGTCACAGCCACAAAAAGCCTACTAAAACATTGTGAAATATTCTTCGATTATTTCAGATATGTCTACCCATTTTTTCAAAACTATGCTGGATAAATATCTCAATTACCAGTAATTAACACATATGAATTTTGTATTTTCATAATGAAAATATCTACTAAAATAAGTAGCCAAACATGTGGGTTAAAAAATATAAAATGGTCAACCCATAAACAAGAGAAAGATAATCTACAAAAGTGCCATTAAACATAAATTGATACTAATTTATATCTGAAAAGCTTCTGAGAATTTACTTTGATAACAGTAGAATAAAATCTAACAGAACAGTAACAATACCAAATCACAGAAAAGGATAAAATTTTCTATAAAGCACTTGAGAGGTGACAGCTAAATGCCATATGCCAGTAATCCCAATACATGGGGAGGCTGAGGCAGGAGAATCACAAATTCAATTCCTGCCTAGACAATTTAGCAAGACCTGGTCTCATAATAAAAAATTTTAAAAAGGGAAGAATTGTGGATGTAAGAGTTGAAACACTATATAGTTTAGCAAGCAGTTCTCTGACTTGTTTTAACTATACATCCCTTTTCTTACCTTTTTTCTTCCTGAGCATTTTGTTGCAGACAGCTAAATTAGATAGAAATACTAAAGGCAGTCAGACAGGGCCAGGCCCTCAAAGAGACATGATGGAAGACAAGGTGACTTTGCAACTTGGAAGAGACAGACATTCCCATATGGGCCACACCTCAAGACCAAGAGAAAAGAGGAAACATAGCTACATACTTCCCTAGAGATGGGCATCAGGGATAGGTATTCTACATAGTTATCAATCACGTTGGAAGAGCCCAAATGAGTCACTAGCCCAACCCTCAACAGGAAGAGACCCTGTCCCATATTCATGCCTGCTTGCTACATGACTCACTTCCCCATTTGGTACTGGATTTAACCAATTTTACCTAAGCAATGATGCTTGTAATCTCATTGGTTGACTGTAGTTTTATCCCACCAAATGCCCACCTAAGCAATTTCCCATGTCTTCTCCCCCACCTTAGACCTGCCTTACCACATGGTTTTCCTCTACAAAAGTCCCTGGAAGAGACAGCTTCCCGGGAGAAACCCACTCAGGTTCCGGCCTGTCCCTCTCTCAGACAGGAGCTTTCTTTCCCTCAATAAATATATTCTGCTCATGACCTCTGTTTGTTCCTAAAATTCATTCTTCAGTTTTAGAGAACACGAACTCATCCCAGGTAACTTTTAGGTAGGGAGATCAGTTTTCTCCCTGCATCATTTGGAGGTTCCCTATATCAATTTTATTTATTTGTTTCTTTACTTTAATGTATTTGGTACAGGGTCTCACTACACAGCTCGGACTCATAATGATCCTATTTGCAGCCTCCCAAGCACTGTGAGTATGGGTGTGGGCCACGCCCATATTCAGTAGCTGGCTTAACAAGCACCTGGGGGGGCAAGACCAGCACAGCATGTGGTACCAGGGACCAAACCCTGGCCCCTGTGCTTGCCTAAGCAGATGCTTAGTCCACTAAGCTATCTTGCAGGCCCTCTTTCCTAATCATTTTAACAAGCTAGACTGGCACACAGAATCTGCCCTTTATTAATGAGAATACATTAACTGTGGTTCTATTCATTAGCAAACCATTTAATTCCAATTTTTATATGTAAAATGAAGATAATATCTAAATCATACTGTGATGTTTAAATAAATAATTTCTGAATTTCTTTATCTTACTACCTACTTAATAAGAGATATACTTAAAACTATATAT